ATTCCTTACAAGGAGGTCATGTGATGTACACATCAAATTTTTTGAGCAACACATCAATGTAAAATATAAAATTCGGTAGAAAAGCAGATAGATTTTGAATTATTTTGAATTGAATTATTCGAAATCTATGTCAGTTTAAGGTGTTTCTTTTTTGGGAGAGGGAGCGCTAATTTTAAATAATAATACCTTATTAAAATACAAAAATGATATTTTAAATTATAATAAATTTTAATAATGTAAAAGTTTTTAATATATTAATTAAAAATATATGTCTAACATATAGTCAATACTCTCAATATATGGGAAACATAAGTCTATTATATATTATTTACCTTTCATTCGATAAAACTGGGACAAATTATTGTTTGACTAAATTCTGAGGTTAAAAATGTCTTTTAATTTTTCGCTACAAGTTATATTATAATAACAATTATAATTGAAGCAACCTTGCAAATTAAGAGGTCTGACAATTGTTACTTTGTGTGTAGAAGGTCTTTAAATTTGTTAAGATCTAGACTACCAATTTTGTGACAGAATATCCTTAATTGGTATAAAAAAATTTTACTTCTTAACAAATGAGCGTAACAAACTGAACGGTTTACAGACTATGCAAGTATTTCATAGTAAATTATATTTTTACTTTTAAGAATACATCTTTATGATATATTTCACAGTACGGCTAAATAATAATTTTAATCACTTACTTTGTTAGTGTGCTTAATAAAAGATTTTTCTAGCCTACATATTAGAACGGCTTCAGAATGATTGTTTGTACAACCCTTTGAAAGAAACAGCAACAGTTTATTTTTATTCTGTTTGAAAGATTTGAAAATTTCTTTACATGATAAAGTTGAAGAAGTTAAATCACAATAAAGAAGCATTTAATTTAAAATATGATTAAATAATTATGATTTTCACAGATATTTAGATGTATATAAAAAAAATCACCAGCTGACTAGCATACTCAAAACATACATAACACTTCACACACTCTCACTGAGATAAATACTTTTCAAATTGCTCATTTGACTTTTATGTAAACTTTTTATTATACATAAAGCTACCAAACATACTACGTAGATTATTAATAAGTTTCTAGGCTAGTTCTTAAGATAATCTGATAATCAAACGTTTATGTTATTCAATTTAAAAATCTACATGGATTTAGCAAAATTTGAAATTTATAAGGTTACACTTGGCCTCTTGCTGTAACTTAGTCCTACAACCTTATTAGAAAGGTAGCGAGTTACCGTTATGCCTGAAAATTGTATAGCAGCAACTTGAAAAGGTTTAAACAAACTTTGGATTATTAAACTAAGCTTCTGACAAACCAGCACGTGGCTCGTGCTACAGATAACTGCCAATTGTGACAATGTAAATTAAAGAATAACAGTCAAATAAATGTAAATGTAGACCAGTCGTCTAAGACTACATATTTAAATAAGCCTAAGTTACAAGCTGGTTCAACAAATAATTTATTGTATATTTAAAATGGCGACTGCGATAGCATGCAAAGCCAAGATAATTACGTTAAGCTACAGCTGTCAGAATTCCAACAATGCAACGCGAATTCCAGAAACTCTCTAAGATCCAAAACCCTCAGTTTAAATATACTACACTGGTTATCATAAATTAAGGAAAAATCACAAAAATCGCGATTACTGAAAAAGTTACATGTAGAATTTAATGAAACTTACCCACAAAATACAACACATAGTAAGGTATCAAATAACATAAAAAGAAATTACCAGACAAATATGATAATATAGAAATTAGCACATGTATAAAATGAACAAATCGAAGGTGTCAGTTTGCTATAGGAAAAGTACCTTCAATATGGAATATGATCGCCTCTAAAAGCAATACAGTATATACAGCGATGTGGGATGCTTTCAATTATGCGGTCTATCAGTTCCATAGGAAGCGAGAGCCATTGCTCTTGCAAAGCAGTTGCAAGCACGACAAGGGTTTGAGGGGGCGGATTGAGACGTCTCCCTAAAGCATCCCAAACGTGTTCGATAGGATTCAAATCCGGGGATGGAGCTGGCCACTCCATGTGCATAATTGTTTCCTGTTGAAGATAATCATCTGCGATCGAGCCCTGTGTGGTCTTGCGTTGTCGTCCTGTAACAGGAAAGCATCACCTATTGCCCCGGCATATGGGCGCACATAAACATCAAGGATGTCATCTCTATAAATCTGAGCATTCACGATTCCCCTTGGAAAGACATAGAGGTCTGTACGTCCATCCAAACAGATGCCACCCCAAACACAGACACTGCCTCTTCCGTACGCATCTCTTTCACGGATATTTGACGGATGATAACGGGTTCTAGGTTCTCTCCATATCAAATAACGCCTACTATCGCTTTCTAGACTAAATCTGGACTCATCCGTAAAGAGAACTGCCCTCCATTGATCAGCCATCCAGTGGACATGTTGTCGTGACTGAAAACGGCCCCTCCTATGGCGTGCCGTGAGCGGCACACAAATGGCTGGTTGCCTCGCATACATACCACCTTCGTGAAGCCTTCTACGCACAGTTGACGTTGACACAAACCTTCCAGTGGCTGCAGCAAGGGAGGATCTAAGAAGAATCGCAGTAGCGGTTCTATTCCTGCGTGCACATAATGCCAAATATCGGTCATCGGCGCTCGTCGTAGCAGTTGGCCGTCCTTGGCTGAACTTCCTAGATGCTGAATTTGTGGTTTGAAATTGCCTCCGAAGTCTATGAACCACAGAAAAACTCACATTTAGCCATTTGGCCATTTCTGTTTGACTTTGTCCTGCCTCTAGTCTCCAAATGGCTCTCCATCGCAGTTCTGCAGGCAACTGATGCCTGGAGGTCATTGTTACGAATTGGCTATCTCAGATTTCTGATGTCACTGTCACAGTGAAATATGTGGGCTTGCTCTCAAACATGGACTTTTATGCTCCTCGCAGATGACACCGAAAGCAGCTACTCATATATACTAAAGCTCACTAATTTGCATATCGCAGTTTTACTCAGCTACTTACTTGGCAACAATTTTTCAATTTTTGGTTTTTATATTTTGGAGTTGTTATCGCTATTTTTGTGATTTTTCCTTAATTTATAACTAGTGCATATAAGCTAATCTGCATTCTGGTGAGAAATACGGAAAAAGAGGTTAAAGTAAAGATTAAATTCATAGTAACTGGTTAGTTTAATATAAGAACCCTACAAATGGATTGACAGAATTCAATAGATGAAAAATATTTTTGCTAAACTACGTTGATAAATCTGGTCATCTTCCTCATTTTCAATCTGTGCTTTAAAAAATTTGTAGTTTTAGCTTAGACTTGTAAATTTTAATTTACAATTCAATGAATCTCTTCTAGAAACAAATTTTGATTTATTTTCTGCAACCAGAAACGCTTGGTGTTTAAATTTCGATCTCAAATACATTTTGAGAAGGTCTATTTTAAATATACCTCCTCAAAACGTATTTGATATATTTTAAAACAGACTGGATAAAATTCAGGATATTTGTAATGCAATTTAAATTTTGAAGAAAGCGTGTCATAAATGCTATGTTAAAATAGTTAATTCTTTTTAATTAGCGTAGTTAAGGTAATGTTTTGTGTATTTCATTAGCGTGTTAAATCCACAGTTTTTTTTTTTTTTTTTTTTTTTTTTTTTTTTTCCCAGTAAGGAAACCCTTTTTTTACAATATTTGACGTCAAAAGTTTTCAATTACTTGCTGCAACACATCGTAACATCGTACTCTCAATAACTAAATATTGGTTAAATTGTAACTTCAGACCAAGGAAAATGTTATGAAACGTTCTATTATGAACGCTTCTTTACAAATTTATGTATTAGTAATATTAGTTGGAAAATAACTAACAATAAAATTTAATACAGAAAATATTAATGTCTACTCGTTAGGTAGCACAGGTGGATGATTTTTGGATACCGAAGTGAAATATCTATTATTCGTTATAATTTTGATGCAAAAGTAATAAAAGTTATCACTTAGATTATCATAAATCATATAATTAAAATGATTTAGATTTACTACAAATTATTTAAATACAGATATTATCAAAATCTAAGGATATATGTTATGACGAATAATGTATATTGCTTTTCAACAAAGTAATTTTTAAAGATAAGTTAAAGATTTTGTAGCTTATGGTATGTCGAATGATAACGCCTCTCAGAAATGGAGACTTGTTATACATCATTCATAAAAGCTCGGCAGCATATCTCAACACAATGTAATGACGACACTTAAAAGGAAAAGTAAATTATAGATGTTTTCTAATAAGAATAATTACCGATTCCACTAAAATATTTTATAATACTTTCATTCAACTCTGCAGTCTTGATTACCACTTAACCTTACATACCATGAAATCTTGATTACCAGTCAACCATATAGCAGTTAAAATTATTTTAATATTTTAACAAAATATTAAACTTTCATCAAACTTTAAAATATGTAAAAAAGAAATTCAGCGTTTTAAAATATGTAGTAAAAAAATCATATTTTGACAAACTTTAGTAATTTTGTGGCCGTAACCTCAGAATGAAATAGAACTGGTTAAAGGTAACACTAACAAAATCACTTTGCTCTAAATTATGAACGCCATTTTGCGTTCTGTTTTAATTCTTCTAGAATAATTTGAATCACTTTCACCATATTTCAGCCTAGTTCTCTTAATAATACAGTCCTTCTTGTTTATTTTCCCAAAGGCCAATTATCTCATCGTATCAACTGCATAGACAGAAAATGCACAATGGACATGGAAATGCAGATAAAGTTTATGTGAAGTTTTTAAAAAAACGAAAAATACTTTCTCATCTTAATCACTCTCTACGATAAACAACTTTAAAAAAAAGTTAAGAGGAAATTTGTTTTTAATTAAAATCAAGTTGAGGAATAGGAAGTGATGAGGTCAGACATGTTTATTCGGCCTTGGAACTATTGTAGAAAGTAGGTATATATACTCTACTTCTCGACAGAAGATCCAACATTGGACCATCTTCTGTTTCCAAAGTGTGATCCTCTTCTAAGCTTCTTTCATCCGCTGAAGATTTTCTAGAAGATGCATTTCTCTGCGGTAAGACTATTTGGAAGTTTACATAAAATATTAAAAGAAAATCATTTCATAAGTTTAAGAAACCTTACGTAAGTTAAAATCTTTTATCCCATAAATCTAACTAAAACTCTATTAGAAAAAGATATTCTAATTTCCAAAATTTATTTTCGGAAAAAAATTATTTAAGCATTGGATTTTTATTACTTATCGAATATTTTCTTTAAGAGGAAATCTGAAATAATTCTGTGTGAGAAAGTTACTTTAATGTGATCAAGAATGAAATATATAGAGAGAAACAGATTTCATTGGTGGAATATCAAAAAATTAGAAAACATTAAATTCTTTTGATGAGTTTTATGAGAAAAATCTTTTCATATTCTAAGAGGATTATTTCATCTTAGAACCGAAAGAATATAGTATTTAAGCAAGATCGCCATGCTTTTCGTGAAGTAATAAATTTCATTTAACAAGAAATAGTTTTAGCTGATATTATCTTTTAACAGTATTGATTTTAATGATTTGAATTTTAATTAATTTTCTATTTTTAGTTTATATGGGAAAAGTAAGCATTATTCAATTATTTTTCTGATGGCAACAATCAAAGTACTTTAAAAAGAATAATATTTTTAAGTCTTTAAGCATTTGCTGGCTTAAAATTTGATGAGAATGAATAAAGTCTTCAAATTTTATTTATTAGGTATATCTAAAAACTTTTTTTAAAAAAAACGCTTTTTCAAAATCCTAGTTTTGTGAAATCCTACTTCTTTCTACCCCTTTGGTTCCCATTTAGCAATAATTGCAAGCTCATTAAATATATCTGTAACTCATTCTGGTAATTCTGACAATATTAATACATTTTCTGTATTTCATGCATCGAAATAAGACCAAATAATAGCAGCATGTTGATCTGTATTTGTCCTGTGTTAAAACTGTGTTCAAAGTTTCAGATTTCGGTAATGAAAGATCTTGATTTTTAAAGAATTTGTACTATTCTAACTTTTATATGAAGAACATAATAATCATTACCAGCTCGACGGAAGCAGCCAATGAAATTTGAAAAATAAATTTTTATGCTTACTAAAAAATATTAATAGAGAAAATAAAAATATTTAAATCTCTTTCTGATGCAATTACAAAATAATTGTAATTAGAAAAAAATACAAAGAAGGGAAAGAAAATGAAAGATAGACAATTCGAAATACTGCACCTTAAAATACGTTTTTACTGACGAAATAACTTCTGGCGTTTCGGAATGTTCAGTTGTATAATCTTTCCTATTTCTTAAAATCTGCTTAAATATTTTGGTAAAATTTTTTTCAATAAATAAATTATGCAATTATGCAGAGTATGCGAGGTTTCGTTTCCTAAGAGCGTCTATGCATGAGGAACTTTTCGAAGAAAACTAGCTCATATTTGCTTTGCACATGTAAAAAAAAAGGCCTATCGCCCGTTCCATTATGGCTATACCATTCGAACCTGGACCGTTATAAGGGTCGCCATTTTAGGTTTTTGTGTTCCAAACTATCGATACTTATCGTCAGTAAACATTATCAACATATGAAAAGAAAACATACTTTAGCATTTATTAAATAAGGTAAATGTGATACATTAAAAAAATAAAGCACTTTAATTCTTACATTCTTCTACAAATTTTTCTGTAATTTTTTTGTGCTGTTCTTCTGCCAAGTGCACAGCAGTCTCTTTTAGATTAAAAAAACATCACAGAATTGCCTCGTGCAATGTTCGGCAACAGCGGCTATCCTAGAATCGCATTTACTAGTTGCTCCCTTTAGAAAATTTTCAGCAAAATCCTGTATGTCTGCAGAAATTTTATTGCAGTTTCTTTCATTGCTGGAAAATTTCAAAAGCTCATATTTTAAAGCCAAGTTTAAGGCCAAAAAATATCACGATTTGTTTATAAAAGTTTGGAATTTGGAATACAAGAAAAAAAAGGAATGCATAAAAAAATAGCGAAGTTGCTTGACTGAACGGTAGTTATAAGAATGGTTGCATGAAGAATGCTTATACGCATGTTGATAGAGTTTGGCACATTCTAAAAACTTGGTGACTTCTACTAAGATGGTTGCTTTAATACGTAAACATCAAAATTTATTATATTCAGCAATCCCTGTCACTGCGCCACACCCAGTGTAAGATTAGTAACTCACGCAACAAGAATACAGAGTTGTGTAGGATAAGACAGGTATGGGATACGTAATCTAAAAATACGAGTTTTGTATTCTTTTAACGATTAGACTGAAATTCAATACATTCTTTTTAAACTCATAATCTTCTAATTGTATTTTTCATGTAATTCACAGCTGATCGTGGCTGTAGCAGGCTTTATTGGATACGTACAAGCTCGAGGATATGGACCCAGTATCGGAGCTGGAGGAATTAGCAGTGGAGGAGGTGGTCCTGGAGGGTATGGCCTTGGTGGAATCAGTGGTCTCGGTGGATCCCTTGGAGGTTACGGTGGCCGAGTAGAAGGCCAAGGAAATGCTGGTGGTTTCGGTTGGGCCGGTACTGGAGGTGGAAGATACGGTGCAGGAACGAGTGGAATTGGTGCTGGACGTTATGGTGGAGTTGGAGTAAGTGGTCTAGGGGCAGGCCTAGGCAGCATAGGCGTATATGGTGGTGCCGGTAGTGCAGCTGGAAGATACGGTGGAGGCGCCGGAGGTGCTGGAGGTTATAGCACAGGTGGAGCAAGTGCTTATGGAGGTGCTGGTGGTTATGGCGGAGGAGCAGGAGGCTACGGTGAAGTGAACGTAAGTGTTCTTTACTCTGATTTCCACGCAAATCTGTATTATATAAAGCAAATTATGCATGCATACAAAGAGAGAAATTGATTTTAAAAATAAGAATTACCTCAAATTAATATCCTTTCAGAATTAAATAAAATAAATTAAAATTTAAAACAATTTCTAAAAAATAAAACTTTTGGACTATCATGGACAGGAAATTGATTGCATTAAATTTTGTACACAAGCAGATTTTTAATTATTTTCACGCTGACTGATTTTTTTTATTTTCTCAAATGATTTTAAAAATATTATTCCAAGCAAGTAAATATTGACTTGCTATTAATTAATTTTTTGAAATATAAAATGCCATTAATTTATTGTATTTTTACCTTGGTATATGAAACAGAACTATTTTAGTCTGAATTTTGTACGCTAGTTTTACATTCATAGTACATTCATAGTAATTGTAGATGATTTAACACTTTTCAATGATTTCATAAAACATTCAAGTATTTTCCTAATTATTAACTGAGGCATATAGTGTTATGTACATTAAATATCGACAAATATATTTATGCATTAATGCTTGGCGTTCATGTTTGGCTTATATTAAAGAGTTATATTAAATCTCAGTTTTTGCAACATGTATGACTTATGCATGCTTTAGCTGAAAGCACCCTATACTAAAAGCCAAGCTTAAATGATCGCTACGATTTTTATTACGATCAAATGTTTGATTACGTTGCTACTAAAGGATTCCAAGCAGCTGTCAGTACCAGTGAACTCTGAGTTGATGGAGAGCATGTATTACTTCAATAGTTCAATAAAGTATGGCGGAATTTTTTACCCTCTCTCATTATTTCGGTAGTAATCCCGTAACAAATCTGATAGAATGGTTAACCAAATGCATAGATTTTGACATAAATAATTACAAATTAAAACGCATGAAGCCATATAAATTGACACAAAATGAAATACTATTTTGGAGATCTTTATCATACCATAAATGCCTTGTTCATCATATTTAATTAATTAAAGCATTCATGTTAAATTTATGAATCAGGAAAAACATTAACAAGAGCTATAGTAATCATATATCGAAAAGTATATTTTTATAAACATGTAAAAATTAGAGATAGTTTCTAATTTATTCTAATTTAAGAAAACAGCTACTTATAATCTATAATTTCTTTATTACTTCTTAATTAGATTCCTCAGCCCTTTGCCTTTGGATACCAGGCAACAGATGAACAAGGAAATTCTCATTTCCGAAGTGAACAAGGTGATGCAAGCGGAAATGTTATAGGTACTTATGGATATACTGATAATCAAGGATTGTACAGGAAGGTAGAATACGTTGCCGGTTCTCAGGGATTCCAAGCTGCTATTCAGACAAACGAGCCTGGAGTTGATGGAAAAGAAAATCCTGCCGATGTTTCCGTGCAAGCTGAACAAACACCTGCTGGTGTACAGCCCCAGTACGGTGCTAGTGGCCCTGGAGGAAGAGGAGGATATGGAGGTGCTACTGCTGGTGCTGCAGGTGAGTTAAAAGTTCCTCTCATGTCTCTTATAAGTTTTGTAAAAAATGAGATCTTAATATTAAAAGTCAGTGCCTGAGAGACTTTCATTAATACTTCATTTTCCGTATTAAAATGAATGTAGTGATAGCCACTTTTAAAAATACGCAAGTAGTATTTAATATTGAAACGAGAATGAATAAAACAAATTTTGTCAATCAGAATTGAAGCCAAATAGATTACTCTTAAATCGAAAAGAGGTTTTTATACTATTCTTTTCATTTTTACCCTTTTTAATCTTCGGTAATACATAGCTTTTCTAACGCATTGCATGAAATTATTTTTTTGCTTTATTCTAGTTTTATGGATAAGATAGATTTTAAATAACATACTTGAAGTATGTACTGTCTTAAATGCTGGGAAAAGCGGCATAAAAAATAGCCAATCCGTGGTACCTTGTTGATAATAAATATCTGAAGTATGATTGAAACATGAAAATCTCTTGCGAAATTCACTTAAACAGAATTTCAGGCAGTTTTTTTAATGAAAGCATTATTGTTTTAATTTTAAAACATAAATATTTTGAGAAAATAATAGAAATAAGAAGGAAAACGAACTGAAAAACTAGGAAGTGAAAGAACTAGGATGTTTACAAATCAAGAGATTAATTTTAAGCCAAAAAATATTCTGAACAAGTACCGTAAATGAAATATCTCTGTTTTAATAAAAACGAAATAAAGAAATTTTTAGTGGCATTTAATGAGCATGCTTAAAATTATTTGTGCTTAAATAAATTTATATTTCAAAGCAATACCATACATCCTTAGACTGCATATGGCTGATTTGGAACACTGGCAATATGGCTGATTTGGAACACTCGAAAAATGTAGCCTATCACTTGCTAAAAGGAAAAAATAGAATAATCACCTCAGATAAAGCTTATTTTACTTACGGAAATTTTAATGTTGAAAGAACATTGATTCTTTTTACCGATAGTAATTATTTAGAACCTAATATAAACCCTCTTAACTAAAAACGGCATTGTGATTTTTTAGTATCTTCTAACGGTGACATTTTGAAAACTGAAACAAGTGCTATCATAGCTAATTAAAGGAGTCTTCATTATAAAGTGTTAAATATCAAACACCTTATGTTATAACTCTAATTTAAGGAAGTCGCGGCATTTAATTTCCTATCAGAATTTCAAATTTAACAAAATTCAACTTCATACGGATTTTGCTATCCCACAAAATCTTTATGTATATTGAGGGCGATTGATACGGGCCTCTTCTTCCTCTTACAAGCAAAAATTTTCTTGGCTTCAGTAGAATTCGACATAAAATAATCAAGGACTTTTAAAGCACTATAGTGCATTTTAAATCGATAAATGTCATAAAACGCTAAAACACTATCTGTTAGTGTTGCAAAACTGTCAATATTCAGATATATGTTACCATAAAAAGTACGACTGTAACACTGTATTAGAGAAACTAATAAGTATGCAAGTAAAACGAACTGCGCTAAAATTGTATTTATAGTCAAAAAAAAAAGAAACCAACATTTGCAATTTTAAATCTTTGTCTCTAAAGCGTTTTATTTGTTAAACTAGCAAGAAACAGATTTAGGGAAAAGGAGAATTATTTAAGGTGTTGAATATAAACACTGACGGAAAATGAAAACCCTGTAGAAACATGTAACATTTTTTGGAAGCATGAAAGATGAAAAATGAGCAGCGCCTTCGCTGCTCATTTTCCATCGAACCAAGGACCTCTGTAATACGCGCCCAGCATGAAGACCACTACTTCATGAAGGTACGCTAAGAAGGCGGAAGAAATACCTTATATTCCATCGCGAAGAAGAAATCAGTTTAGAGTAATGGAACGAAAGCAAATAGTTTGTTTAAGTAACATATTAATTTGATTAATCAACAGGATTGACATAGCTTAAAATACGCGGCACAGGTGAGAAAACAATCATTTCAAATATGAAACAGTGGTACGTTAATAACCGCTGTATTCACCATAATGTTGAATGAAAGAATATAAACGCACATGCTTGTATCGTATAAGTGCCAAATATTGATTTGTGGGATGGTGTTCCATGTATGTTGCACTTGGTCAATCAAATCAAGAACGGTTGCGAATAACGCTGTAGTCCAATCATGTTTACTCGATGGAAAAAGATCAGGGGATCTCGCAGGTCAAGGCAACATATCAAGACTATATAGCACATTAGGTGATAACAGTAGTACGAAGATGAGTGTTATGCTGTTGGAAAATATTCCCTAGAAAATTGCTCAGGAATGGCAGAACAGGCTGTGCAATCATCAGTGTAATGTACAAATTTGATGTCGAAGTTTGTGGGTTAAAGTCATAGAAAATTGCTCTCAGATCATAACAACTTCATATGCTGCAGATAGCTTGGAAGAAACAGATTTGCTGCAGTTCACTGGTCACTGAGTCGCGGTGCAAACAAAAGCTCGAATATCTGCTGCAGGTGTAGTACGATGCGCCCTAGACATGCGGCGAATGTAGTGTGTTTCCTTTGAATAGTGGCGTTTGGTGTTGCCGAACCCTGGTCTTCTAGAGACAACTGCTGGCAACACGCATGACCAGTAGATACAAATCTGAGAAATCTTTTTGCAATATCGGTAAGTGGAACTCCACTTTCGTTTTCCTTGTTTATGTCCACTTGTCTGACGAAGTCAGCCCAAGCCCACGTAATTCCTCGTGGCAAGGAGCGCTAGAATAGGCCTGTCATTGGCAACAGCCTTGAGCACCTAACAGTGCGATATGGCTCAGTTACGTTCCCAGTTTTTATGAACAGCACCCTGCGGCAACGGGTTCGAGAGTCTCCCACCCCTCTTCCCTTCCACGAAATAACACGAGAGGACTTTCGGCTCGCAGCATATTTAGAGTGCCGCCATGCCGCACCGACACTATACATGTACAAACATTCATGCCTTCTCCGGGGTTCAAACCCAGGTCCTTCGGCAAGGCAGTCAGCGATGCTAACGACTGGAAATCCACTTTCTTCCAACTCTATTATACTGCCTCGTATATATTCCAGTAAACTACTGATGCCGTCTTCTTTGTCTCCTTAAAGGCATTCTTGAATCAAATTTCGTTCACAATCTGAAAGACAAATAAAACATACGAAGTTTTCATCGTACACCTAAAGCAAATTATGTTCATAGTGGCGCTTCAAGCGCTTCGCTTATTCGTCTAGTGCGGAATTTGAATAGAAATCATGTTTCAGATCTGCAAACAGCCTCCTATATTTCCTTAATCAAGCACAACTTCTTTTTCGTGATGAGATTTTGTTTTCCATCATTGTAGAATATTAAATATAAACCTCCAGGATGAATAGCTTCAAGAAACCAAAAATGAAAAATTTGGTTAAAAAGACAAAGTTATAACATTCTTAGCCATAAATATTGCATTAATAAGTAATAAAGCATATTTGTGAAATGCCACACATTTTAATGTTTACTGAATGAAGCGTGTATTTGACTAATATAGTAATTTAAATGCTATCTGAATTTAAAATTAAACTACTAAAGTGAACTTAAATATTTTAAATAGCAGTCTCATTTTATTTGTGAAGGACGAGAAATTTCAAAACCATTGTAAGTTATCAATGAGTTTTACTCTTTCACGAAAATAATGCGATTTTTTTCTCCTCAGGCTCTGGCAGATATGGTGGAGCTGGAGCAGGTAGTTATGGTGCTGTAGCAGGAAACCTTGGTGGACTTGGTGCTGGAGCAGGTCATGGAGGAATCGGAAGTTATGGAGCTGGAGGTGGAAGACTAAGCGGACCAACTGGTACTGGAGGACTTGCTGGTGGAATCGGAGGCTATGGAGCTGGTGCTGGAAGACTAGGTGGACAAGTTGGTGCTGGAGGACTTGCCGGTGAAACCGGAAGTTATGGAAGTGGACCAAGGGGAATTGGTGGAGGAGCTGTTATCGGAGGAATTAGTGGTGGAACTGGTGGATACAGTGGCGGAGCTGGAGCTGGAGGCTTGGGAAGAGGAATTGGAGGTGGAGCTGGTGCTGGAGGAATCGGCAGTGGATTTGGACGTGGAGCAGGAGGATATGGTACGGTGAAACAAGGCAAGATCGGAGGATTTGGTGGATCTGGATCATCCGGCACTGGAGCAGGTGCAGGAGGACTTTTTAGCGGCTTGGGAACTGGAAGTGGAAAAAGTGCTTACTAAAATTTCAGCTGAATTACTTGTCTTGTTATGTTTCATTGCGACAATTGGGCTCTGAATTTTATTTATGTTGGGGAAACTGTATCTCAGGTGAACGTGGTGTCTTCAATTGTAGACGAAAAATAACTGTTCTGGTCTTAGTAATAAAAAAATCCTTTAAACGAAATGCAAGTTTCGTTGTTCGAAGCACAACGCACATTTTAAATAGTTCAAATAGATAGTTCAAACAGAAATAGCTCATTCAGGAATGAAGGTTCTAAACATTTACCTCAATGCATGTGGCATACATTAAACTTTCTTGAAACTTGGACAAAAATATGACTATTAACTAATATCCGGGCATCCAACTTTTTAGGTTACTTCAGTTTCTGCTTTGGTTGCCTCAATGTTCTTCAATTCTTCTTTAGGTATAAGTAATGAAACAAATCATTTTTATAACCGTGTGGAAAAAGACCAGATGTTTTATTCATTTAATGCTCAGTTCCCTGATGAGAGGCCCCATTTTGTTCTGAGTTTTCAGGGATTTCCAAAGCCATGTATTTATATGTGCTTTTTTCTTTCATATATAGTAAAACAAATAGGATTGTTTGTCTATTATAAATCGAAGATTGTTTCTCTCACGTCTTTGTTTTGTAGCTCATAAAATACTGCAAGCTATTGTATTTTCTAGATGTGTACTGTTTTTTGTTCGAAATCTTACATGATTTATCTCAAATAAATTATTTCATGATAAATAAGTGCATATCTTTTTATTGTCTTCAAAATACGAAATACAGCTGTAGTCATAAATATCTTTGAATTTTTCTCAATATTTGCATTCCATTTTAAGATTGCTGTCTTACATAAAAACAAAATTTTGTAATCATTTTACTTTAATATATCTAATAATTTAAAAGTATTATTAGTATACTTATATTAGTAGTAAAGTATTATTAGTATACTTATATTAGTAGTAAAGTATTAGTTAGTAGTAAAGTATTATTAGTATTATTAGTAAAGTATTATTAGTATTTAAATTATCTAATAATTTAAAAGTTTGAAACACGCATTTATATTCTTTTTAAATTAATCTTCTATTTTATTAAAATTAATTTTTCTTATTTTTAATGCTAAACACTTCATTCTCAGTTTTTTAGTCAGTCTGAGAGCTCTGTTTAACAGCATAGTCGGGATTAATACTGCTAACACAACGTAAATAAAAAAACAGAAAGCTGTCAGAATTGGTCCCCGTCCTAATGTTAGCCGTATGAAAATTGTTAACAAACCGGCGGATGGAAACTCTGTTCTATACCAGGGTATAGATAGAACTGTACATTTTACATATCAATTCAATCAAAAGTCTTTATGCAGAGGTATATGAGCCTAAATAGAGTAGATGATATATTTTTAAGTAGCTAGAATTTAAGAATTTATCTCCTAGTAAGAATTTATGGAATCTGATTAAACTATAAAACATTTTCTGAAAATGAAAAAGTTTTGCAAGTTTAAATTTTATGTTTACTAAGTTCTTGACTAGATATCTTGAAATCTAATAAAATTATTTTCAAGACTTAAAAGAAATCCACTTTAAAACAAAGCAAAGTAGTAAGCATCAAATTTGCAAACCTTAGTCTGAATATGAATATCTAAACATATCTGCACTACAAAACGTTATGTTTTTCATTACATTCAGTTTAAAAGATCTTACGGATTATTATAACGCAAATAATAGGCAGATCACTGATCTAAATGATTAAAATACCGGAATCTTGAAGTTTAGTCAAAGCTTCTATAGCCCAGAGGTGACTATTTCATGCAAAATCTGTTCTTCTTTTGTCTACATGACTAAACTAGTTTAAAATTAAAAGTTACCTCAATAATTGCTCGTTGTTGCATAAAACAGAATATTTAACAGTAATTTTAGAATTATACTGACTTGACTCCAACGAAAATAGCAATAAAAATAGGTAAAATAAAATTTGTTTGTGCTTTTAAATACGAATAATGCGAAACAAAAGTGTAAGAAACACGCTGTGTAAACTAATTTTTAACATGCAAAGAAAAGCCAGTAAAAGCTCATCGCCAATTTCTTTTAAACCCCGCCAGTTTCCGAGCAGTTAGAGACTACTGAATATCATAAGTCCGTCTCGATTTAGAATTCAGGCAAGCGGACTAAGTGCATGGCTGGATTTTGTAAAACGTATCACGTCAATGTACTATAATAACTACGTATAATATCAATATGAGCTAGTTTTCTTTAAAGTGCCCTCCACAAAAACAACCCTGCCCTTAGGCAGATAGCTCTGTTGTACTTAGTCATATTTGAATAACGAAATAACCAACGAATTTGCTTTTATTCAGGATGTCATGTAACACTTTGCTGTACACTTTTTAAAAATTGCGAGTTTAAAAATTACGTGTACGAGCTAAGAAAGGAACTTAACGTGTACTTTTGTGCGCAGTTAATTTTGCATAAAAATACTATAATTTCGACTTAGTCCCGCCCTTTTTTTTTTTGTGTGTGTGTGTGTGTGTAAAACGTTTTTGAAATGTTCGCAAAAGGATTCGAATAAGGAGAACGGGCTGGATGCACGGATGGTTTTCCCTAATTTCCCCATGTGCGACTTTAAAATGAGCCAGTTCCTCTTAGAAAGTCCTCGATAAAGACATCCTTCCGCTTGAGAAATAACCTACGTGTGCTTTGTCATATTCAAATGGCCAACCAAACAGGAACTGATTGGTCCTATCCTTGATCAAATTATTGATTGCTTACGACCCAGAATCTTATTTCGGTCACCTAATAAACATCCGAAGTTTTTTAAACTGGAAATAATTTTATATTTCTGTGGCTTAAAATAAATCGCTCACATGTAGCAGAATATTTTTTTTTTAAGTAAATACACAAATAGTACCCAAAGTACCACAAATTATCATATGAGGTTACAGAAGTAAGTACGTAAAATTACCCTTTACATGCATCTTTATAAAGTTACTTCAAAACTAATATCTACTGTTAGCAGTATTTCTAAATATGGAGCTTTAAAAAATTAAACTCACCTTAACTCAACATGTGAGGAATAATCATTAATATGTGGTACCCTTTGCCTTTGAGCACAACTATGCATTGAACAGAATTTTCGATTCCACAAATATTATCACTAAATCAGTATTCAGCAGTCCTTGCATCGTCAAAGACAGTTAACTTTTTCGAGTTTTCGTGAAAATATCTTTCGTACATAATGAATTAAATTGTCACATGCAAAATATAAAATATATTTTATATTTCAAGGTAGCCCTTCGTTATTCCTTTTCTGTGAACTGTAATGCTATTCTTTTAGTAAAAAAAGCATATATTTTCCTACTGGTTACAATTTTGAACGAAATGGATTTCAAAATCATTCAAATATTTCGAATAAATCTTTTCTTCCAGCTTTAATGTATATATAGTCTAAAATTCGTGCAGCTCTGGCCCTTAGACAAAACTACAGAAAACTCCAAGTAGGAAAGCGTATTTTTCCGTTACTTCCCGGTGATTTTCTTAAAAAGTGTTTGATTATTACTTTTCAAATTAATGACGATCTTTCAGTAATAATAAAAATAACAATATTTGGCTTCTAATGAGACAAATTTTAATTCCTAACTATTAAAAGTTTCCTAATAATTATATACCGAAAACTGAATCCATTTATCTACAAGACCATTTCACTGAACTACTGTGCATTTTCAGTTACAAGCAAATGAAATTAAAATATTTAAATAAGAACATAAAACCTTCTCCCCTCCCAAGACTCATGTCATCCAAATGGGCATGAAAAGTTAAACAGATCATTTGAATTAAAAATTTTAAATTGAAACAGTTAAATAATTTTAAAAATAATTAATAACATTATCAGGTATTTTTCTCGCTTTCTTAGCATGCCTTAATGATGTAATGGTCAGCACGCTCGGCGCGTATGCGAGCGATCGCTGGTTCGAATCCCGGAGAGGGCATTGCTAATTTCTCAGGTCTCCTGCTTCGAAATAACCGAATGTCTCTACAGTGGCGCCCGAACTACAAAACGTGGTGGATGATGATTTTTCACCTTCAGGATTTGGCGATTGGGTCCCCTAATTCCCAGTGGCCCTTTAAAAGGGGGAGTATATAAGGTATTTCTCCCGCTTTCTGGCATGCCTTCTTAGTGTAATGTTCAGCACGCTCAGCGCGTATTCGAGAGGTCCGATGTTCGAGTTCCGGTTTTTCTGACTTTAAGTTCATATGTAAAAGAACCTTTCCCTTAATTTTTGGCAACAGTCGATTTTCTACTGTATCCTCTGCCAATGATATCTTAGTTTTTCGGTAAGCAATCAAGATCTTGCCAGTGAACGAGAGATAAAAGCACTGGGCATTGCAGATCGACTTAATTTAAAATATCCACAAACATACTGATTGACTGCATAGAAGCTTTTGTGTGTTTCTCCATGTTTAACATGAGCACTAGACTGTTTCCCGGAACCTTTTCCAAGAAAACACTACGTTTTCTTAAGCAGAAAGTCCGCGAATGATTTCCCATAATCTAACCTATCCAATCTAGTTGGATAGGTTAAATTATGGCCAAGTTGACTAGATTTTGGCTAGTTGGACCACACAAGTTGCCGAGTGGCCTGAAAACTGCTCAACGCTGGAAGTTCCCCAGGCGAAAGGGTTGCCTGCCTGATTGGGTTTCAAGTTTCCCTCAAGTGTAAAGCGAATACGAGGCAGTTTCCCTTAGAAGGTCCTCAACGTCTGCCTTAAGCAGATATTTCTCACGTGCTTTGCCTTACTTAAATAACCTAACCGATCCATTCGGTGAATGATAATCCTTATAAAATATAATCCCATTCTTAAGTTTTATAAGGACCTATCCCGACTGCCAATCAAACGCTCACATCACGAAACAGTTCAAATATAGGAAGCTGTCACACAAGAGTTATTTTGCGATAGCGGTACGGTGTTTGTCTGCAAAGTAGCTGACTCACGGTCGAAATCCAAGCTCGATAAAGACAGCGGAAATTCATGAGTATTTCTCATGAGTGCTAACAGATGGCCAATGGATGGCTTCCACAAAGGCATTCCGTTTATCACAATACCCCTCATGTGCTTCTTTGCAACACTCAAATAACCTAATCCAGTGGTCTCAAACTGGTGAGTCGCATATAGCCCTCGAACAATTTTATGCGGCCCACCAAGAAATTCGAATTCTGTATTTGTTGCAAATATGGTATTGCAAAGATTTCAGGATTATAGCTGTTTGAAATCTGAGTATATATTATTTCCATTCCCATTAAAAACGAATATGAATAGCGCATTAGAAAATCTATAAATAGAGCTAATTAATTTAAATCTTATTCAAAGATTTGAAGATGCAGATTTTATTAACTTTTATTGGTTCGTGTCTAAAAGTGTTTAAGCTCAGTTACTAGTTTTTACGCTAAGAATAACGGCTTGAATTGGGAATACATTTTTGGGTGAAATTGGGAATAGATTTTTGGGTGAAATTGGGAATACATTTTTTTTCGCAGTAGAAAATTAATTACTGGATTGACCGATCTACAACCTGTAATATAGACAGTTTCTGGTAATTTCCCTTTAAGGCTAAACTTGATCAGAATCAAAACGCCGTCAAGTGTTAAGCTATAGTAAAAACTAAAGTTTATAAATTTTTACAAGGAACATACATATTTTTATTTATTGTCGAAATACATATAAATGCAAATACATGCATGTATATTGAAT